TAGGGCTCTTTGTGCTTCTTGAACTTAAATGCCTTCTTCCTTCACCAAGTTAGGAAAGTTTTCTGTCACTATTTCTTCAAATATTTTCTAACACTTGCTCATTTTATATTTCTTTGGGGACTCCTATGATACAAATGTTATTACGTTTCCAGTTGTCCCACAGTTCTCTTGAGCTGTCATTCTATTTTTAATTGTTTTTTCCTTTTGGTTTCTGATTGGTTGAGTTTTTTCTACCCTGTCTTCCAATTCACTGACCCAGTCCTCAGTTTCCTCTAGTCCTTCTAATGTGTTCTTCATTTCTGCTATGTCATTCTTCATTTCCATTTGGTTGGTTTTCAGTGTTTCTATATCTTTACTCATGGTGTTGATGTCCTTACTCATGCTGTTGAGCTTCCTCAAGATCATGGTTCTGAACTCTTACCACTGATAACTTGCTTAACTGCATTCCATTTATCTCTGGCAGTGTTCTCTTGTTCTTTCATTTGGCATTTGTTTCTTTGTTTCACCATTTTGGCTATCTCAGTGGGTTTTGGAGCCTGCCAAATTTTCCCTGTGGGTGTTGGAGTTCTGCTCTTTGTGGCTCCCTCTACTGGATTTGGATGAGCATGGGAAGGCCCAAATTAAACCCTACTGTCAAGTCTTAGTTTCCTGGATAAATTTGAAAGCCTGGGAATGGTTCAGTTATCCTCTAGCTTTTTGCCTGGAGGCTATTCGTCTCAGTTACTCGGGGCCTTGGAATATAGCCCTCTGGTGTTCTGCATAAGAGGATTTCCAGAGGGTGGAACAGATGCTGGTTGTTAATGAGCCTCAATCTGCATTTCTTTGGCTCACCTGGAAGGGGCTGAATCTCTGAGGGAAGGTCTGCCCTTTTTCCCCACAGCTCTGGGAAAGAGCAAGCTGGCCACTGTCCTTTGTTACCGCGACTCAGCAAAAACTTTGAGCACCCTCCAAGTCCTGGGTATCCCCACAGAGTTCCAGTCCAGTCTGCCCCACCTCTTTCAGAGCCCAAGGTGAGTGGCTGTAGCCAATCTAATGCTCTGTCCCAACCCGCTGTGCTGTGGAGCCTGCTTGAAATTTTAAGCCTGAGGGCACTGCTCACATCTAAGGCCACTGCTGTCCATGGGCTCTCAGCCCGCCACCCTCTCACACCTCTGCAGATCCTACCAATGTCCCTGGTTATATTGTCCTTTCCCATTGCTTTTCTGTTGCTTTTTTCCAAACTATTTGTCTTTAATTTAGTTGTAATTCCTGTTTGGTCCTGGGAGATCATCTGTGTAGCTTCCATTCACTCCACCACCATTTTTTCTCCTCTTGAGGATCTTTTCATGTGTCTGTGGGCCATGTATAAGTCTTCTTTGAAGAAATATCTATTTGGGTCCTCTTCCTATTTCTTAATTGGATTTTAAAATGTTTAGTTGAGTTCTTCACATGCTTTTGATATTAACCCCTTATCAGATATAACATTTATCTTTATTATTTTCTGTTTTTCCTCTGACACTATAACAGTGGTTCCCAACCTGTGGGTCACGATCCCTTTGGGGGTCAAATGACCCTTTCACAGGGGCCACCTAAGACCATTGGAAAACAAATATTTCCGATGGCGATTCATAACAGTAGCAAAATTACAGTTATGAAGTATCAACAAAAATAATTTTATGATTAGGGGTCACCACAACATGAGGAACAGTATTAAAGGGTCACGGCATTAGAAAGGTTGAGAACTACTGCTCTATAACTTCATATTACCTATCTTCTAGCTCACTGATTCTTTCTTCTGAAGTCTGAAGTTGATCCCTTCTAGTAATTTTCAATTACTGTATTCTTATGCTCCAGAATTTTTTTTCATTCTTTTTATAATTTCTATCTCTGTTTATATTCTTATTTAAGAATATAAATAAGAATTTATATTCTTATTTATTTCGCTTATGTCTTTTTTTTTTTTTTTTTTTTTTCAATTTTGTTTAGTTGTTCTCTTGTAGTGTACTGCACTTTTTAAAGACAATTATTTTGAGTTGCTTATCAGGTAATTCACAGATATGTATTTCTTGAGGGTCAGTTTCTATAGGTTTACTTTGTCCCTTGATTGGGCTGTGTTTCCCTATTTCTTTATGTGCCTTGTTATTTATTGTTAGGAATTTGTCATTTGAAAATATAGTCACTTCTTATGAACTGGCTTTGTACAGGGGAAGACCTTCACCAATCAACTTAGGTAAAAAAATCTTTGTGCCTCTCAAATCTTTAATGAGGATTTGTCTTCTCTGGACTTGTGTTTGTGTGATTTCCCAATTAGAGAAGTTTGCTAGTTTTCTTCAGGAGTTTGTAGCCTCATGCTCCCTCTATTGTCTGTCTTCAGTATTGCAAGTTTGGGGAACACTTCAAAAACCATTGAGCTCTTTTTTGCTCTCTGCAGCTGGCTGACATTCAAGTTTCATCAGTGCTCAGATTCAGGTGAGACAGAAACTAATTTCTTCGGAAACCCCCTAAAAAGCAGGAATATTGGAAGTCCATTCTACTCTCTTTCCCTCTGATGAGAGAAGGTGAAAATTGCACTTTCCTCCTGAACACAAGCTGTGCCAATTTTGCAGAGGAACTGACCTAGTTTAATTGAGTTTAACTGGTTATTTTAACCTATTTCAATGTGACTGTTCTTGGCTTTGAGCTTGCCTGGGTGCTACAACTTTTTACTGGTTTCTCAAGTTTTCATAAAAACTTTTTGTACTATATATTGTTGTTATGTCAGTGTCTCTATGAGTGAACAAAGTCCGGGGCTATCTGTTCTGATATCTTGCTTATGTCACTCTCCATCAATTCGTTTATAGAGTAGTTTTCAATTCCTTTTCTCTCAACCTAACCATACTGTTATAATTGAAGTGAGTGTATCATAAATAGCATGTAGTGGGGTGATAATTTTTAATCCACTCTGCCAATCTATGAATTTGAATTGCTGTATTTAGAACATTTAAACTTAATTTAATCATGGCTATGTTAGGACTTCAGTCTGTCAATTTTTTTTTTCTTTCCTGCCTTCCTATGAGTTAACCAAATTATTTTAATACAGCCATTTTGATGTGTCAGTGTTTTTTAGTGTTATCTGTTTGCATTGTTTTTTTTTTATATGGTTGCTTAAAGTATAACAACTTGTCACAATCAATTGGTGTCATCATATTACCATATCTAGGAGAGTATAAAAACCTTACCTCCCTTTATATTACATTCTCCCATTTATAATTGTCTTAAAGATTTCCCCTATACATATATAGAACCACATCAGACAATGTAACTATAATATTTTATTCAACCATCAAATACAATTTTAAAAAGTCAAGAGGATAAAAGCCTTTTGCATTTATTTGTATTTTTGCTAAATGTGTTTTTCCTTCCTTCTTGATATTCCAAGGTTCCTTCTTTTATCATTTCCTTTTTGCTTAGAGAACTTCCTCTAGACATTCTTGATGTTGACAAAATTTTTTGTTTTCTTCTGGAATGTGTTGATTTTTCTTTCATCTCTGAATGATAATTTGCTGGGTATAGCATTCTGAGTTGCCAGTGTTTTTTCTAGCAGCACTTAAAATTCAGTTTTCCTTCTGGCCTCCACAGTTTCTGATGAGAAATTCACCATCATTCATATTGGTTTTGCCCTATAGTCACTTCTGTCTTGCTATTTCATATTTTTTTCTTAGTGTTTAATGTTCAGAGGTTTGGCTATGATGTGACATGTGGATTTCTTGTGGTTCATTCAATTTCTGGAATCTATAGGTCTTCTGCCAAATTTGGAAATTTTTCAGTCATTTTCTTTACATGCCTCTTTCAGTCCTGTTCTCTTTTTTCTTTATTCGCTGGATTTCCATTGACACAAAAGGTAAAGGGTGTGTGTCTCATTACTGTTTGGCAGTGGTGACAATTCTGGCTCCCCACATGATCTCTGACACCACAGGTGATGAGTTTCATTACCACCCAGCAGACTTAAAAGTCCCAGCTTACTACTCAGCCTTTGTTCAGTGTCAGAAAATGACATTCCTCTCAAAAGGAAGCTGAGGCACCATTTTATAGCCTAATCAGGGTAAAAATCCAGGTTCCCCAGTCTGGCTTTGTTTGAGTGGGTTGGGGTGGGACCGTAGTTTTTTTCTGTGGCAGTAAGCTAGAGTAAAGAGATTATTTTCTAAAAGTTTTCTGTCTCAATAAGCTATCTCTTTCCTCATCCATCCTTTGGCTAGAGAGAAATAACTTTTACTGGTATTTTGTCTGTTTGTTTGTGACCACTGGCAGATCCAGGTTGCCAGCTTCTTCAGCTCCAATTCTGGAACATATAAGGCAAAAAGCAAACCCAGGAAACTTACCACCATGTCATTCCTTAGACTTGGGGGCCTTTCCAGTCTGACTTCTCTCCATCTTTTCCAGTCATCTTATGTTTGTTTAATATATAGTACTCAGGGTTTTTAGTTGTATTTCGTAGGAACAGGGAAAAGTACATCTACTCTACTGTCCCATAAGTAGAACACTTTGTTATCTTTTAAATTTCATTTTTATCTGTTGCTATATATCTTTTCATTACTAATATTGGAGCATCTAGTAGGCTGCTACAGAAAGTGGTGACATTTCTGGAGTTATAAATTTTAAAGCATACTTTAAATAACTACCTGATGGGCTATAGAGCAGTGATTTTACAGGAATCAAGAGATATTGGTAAGGACCTTTCTAAGGCTAATAATCTATGATTTCCACAGGAATTCTTCCTTGACTAGTTTATCATGATTTTTCTTTCTTTGACTTTCTCCTACTCTTATAATCTACACTTAATTATTTTTGTTATATATCAATGTTTTCAGTAGTTCCATTCTATCTTCCACTAAGGTTATAATCTTTGGCTAGAATTTGTGTCTTATATTTTACTTTTACTTAAACTGTCAGTACGCCTAGAGTATAATTATGAGAAATTGTAAAAATTCATTAAAATACTTTTGATGATAAATTGATAAATTTACAAAGCATATCCCACTTACCCGGTAATAATAATTTCTGGGTATGTTTGTGTTCCAAGATTCCATGCTCCTCCACTGATGGGCCACTCCTAAATATATTATCCAGAAAGAATTTATAAGTTTACTTTTAAAATTTGAATAATTTGAAGATTTAAAGTAAAAATATTTTATAATAATGGTAAAAGATTTTCTTAGAAGTCAATAGCTGTAAGAATGTAGCTATCTTTTAATTCTTTTATTCAGCAAAGAATTCCAAATGTATAATTCCATCACCTTTAAAAATATTTATTTGAACAAAGATTACAATTTATATTAAAAAGTCAGAGACCTGGCTGGTTTGGCTCAGCAGTTAGAGCATTGGCCCTTGGACCAATGAGTCGTGGGTTCAATTCTGATCAAGGGCACATAACTTGGTTGCAGTTCGGCCTTGGATGGGTCATGTGTGAGGCAACCAGTTGATGTGGCTCTATCACATCTATGCTTCTCTCTGTCTGTCTCTCTGTCCCTCCCTCCCACTCTATCTGATAATAAATAGAAAAATATCCTCAGGTGAGGAATAAAAAAATTAAAAGTCAAAGAAGTATTTTCAATTATACAAATACAGTGTTGTTACATTTGTCACATAATCTGTTTACTGCCAAACTATTGTGGTGTCATTTAACATAGAATTCTATGTAAATTGTGCCACCCTGGAGCTGTCTACCCCAAAAGCCCTGTACAAATAATAGAAATCATAATTGGTGGTCTACTACAATTATATTTGAATCCTGTAGTTAAATACAATAAAATAAAATTCCAGAAAGTTATTTAACAAATAACTTTTGGTAATTATGTCTTATGTTAACCTACACTAATAAGAAATGATTAAGTAGAAAGGGTTGACTTGAATTTCTTAAAACATAATCCTTCATCCAAAAGAATTAAGTTACATCTTATAATTTAAATTTTTTATTTTAAATATACTTGGCATATAAATATATATGATACATAAGTATATCTCAGAATATAATTGTATACATATTATGTAAGAAATTTATATTCCTGTAAGTTTAAAGGTATGTAGCATGTAGGAAACTTGAATTCCAGAGGTTATATCTTTTATTGATTCCAACTTGTGACCCCAAACAATTTATTTCAAGTCTTCTTTTATGGAAAGTCCAAAAAATATATAACAACTATATAACAAAATATGATCGCATAATATGAGTACAAGACAATTTATTTTTAATTGTTACTTTTACCTTATTACTGTATCCTTGTTTTTTATGCTTGACTCCTATAGCGTAGAGAACTAGAATCAAATCTGGTGGGCAGTCAGCAAAGTAGGCTGTGCACGTAACTGGTGATTCGTGAATGTCCATGGGATACGGATTTTCAAAGATTGGAAAACTAATAGATAAGGACACTATATTAGGTTCATTTTACAATGACAAAAAATAAAATAACTTTTATAAAACAAGCCCTAAAATATATTCTATATATTAATTATACATTTCACCTAATTGCTTTTTAAGCATCATAAAACAAGAATCATATGAACAACAATGCTCTTTTTGAAATACTTATCTATAAAATGTAATATAAATATTGGTAGACTTTTACTTGAATAAATTAATTTTCTTTCCATAATTCAAAAATTCCAGTGATATCCCTTTTATCTAAATATTTACATAACATACTTATAAGAATTAAAATATCTTCTTAGTAAATTTGAAATGTTTTTCCAAGCAAGGTAATATATAAGTAAGTGTTTTATTTCTGTTTTTTGCTGGAGTAATTGAAAGATGTGCAAGATTATACCACACTTAAGATAATTTCCTATGTAAACCAGAGAACATAGTGGGAATGAAGACTTATGGATGCAGTAAATGTCATATCCTCAAGCCTATAATATTAAAGAGTCATATAAGTTCAGAACCAAATTAATAATTCTTACAGCCATAATATATTGTGCAGTACCTATGTACCAGATATATCAAGCACTGTAGTATAAGGAATTGGATATTATTCTATGTTCCATCTGTTCCAGGTTTGTGTGATCATGTTACTTGTGATACAATGTGTATTTGGGAGGGCTATTAAAAATAATTTCCTCCCCCCACTGTTAGGAACTTAATTAATAATTTAGCCCAATCTTCAGAGAATATGGTGTATGTAAGTGTGTGTGTAAACTACAGATAGTTTTCCAAATAGGAATAGTAGTATATGCAAAATCAGGTGGGAAGAACCAAGATGTGTTTAAAAAAATGGCAAGTGGGTTAAACTGCATGGATCAGAGTTCCCCTCTTTCAGAGTAGAAATTATCAATATTTCTTAGATTGAAGAACTGGAAGTAAAATAAATAGATCACCTAAAGACCAGATCTACAACTCAGCATTTGTATTGTAAAAATGTTTGGGCCCTGGCCAGTTTGGCTCAGCGGTTAGAGCATCAGCCTGCGGTCCGGAGAGACCCGGGTTCGGTTCCCGCTAAGGGCACGTACTTCGGTTGCAGTTTGTCCCTGGCCCTGGTCGGTCGTGCGGGTGGCGGCCACTCGATGTGTCCCTTTCACATCGATGTTTCTCTCTCTCTCTCTCACTTCCTCTCTCTCCCTCCCACTCTATCTGTACAAAAGATGGAAGAATATCCTCGGGTGAGGATAAAAAAAAAAAAATGTTTGGGAAAGAGTATGGAAAAATATATTTAAGGAAGAAATAATAACTAAAAATGTATTATAGGAATTTTGATGTAAAAGTTCAAACTGGTTGCTGTGGAAATGTAAACAAAGCTATAAATCCAAGAAACCAAGAAAAGAAAAAAATTTGTAAGCCCTAATGCTTGTTTTTATGTAGAGGAATGGGGGAGGAATGAAGAAGCACACAAATGAACTTGAAAAACAGTCCAGAGGTTCCAGTCAAAATTGTGGGAGAAGATGAAAGCTGCACTCATCTCCCATTACCACATCAAAATAATGACTAAATTATATAACACTCAGTCTGGATAACCATCTGAAGACTAGCTGAACAGAAGTCCTATAAGTAAAGATATACATATGACCTGGGCCCTGAGGCTAAGGCAACTAGATTCCATTCTTATGTAGGCCCCTTAGCTAAGGCGACTAAATGACTCCATTTTTATCATCAATGGACCTTCCTTGGTATTCTTCCAATAATAGCTTAATTAGAAGTAAAGGAATTTTGCCTAACATTATAGTTGCCCTACGTGTTGGGAGGTATCTTGCAGTTTCCAAGTATCGAAAACTGAAAATCATGAACCCAATGATTAATGCTAATTTTGACTTCTGTAATGGCTGTCACACCCACTATTGTACCGGTCCCCTGAGGGGCAGCCAAAAGGGAATGGGGCTTCTGTCTCTAAAAGTGGATAAGCAAGAAGAATCAGGCCTGCTGATCTGAGGGGAGACCATGCCCCCAGCAACCCACTGGGGAAAATAAAGTGCTCCTTTACAATTCGGCTGTGCGTCTCATCTCGCGGACACATTACAACACATAGCAGCTGGTAGAAGGGGCGGAGATGCAAAATGAACTGGCCCTGCTCCTATATGTGGCAATTGAGGATCTGGAGGGATAGCTCAGTTGCAGAGGTCTCCCCTGAGGAATGAGGAATTTCAACCCCATACTGGACTACCCAGCTCAGAAAACCAGGAAGAAGAGTCCATATACCATCTAGCAGTGAAAATCAGCAAGGCTTCCATCTACCCATGTGAGACAGGAGACTGCTAGAAACCCAGGTATCCTCTTAAAGGTACAACACACAAACTCTTGCTCACAGGCACTCACTCTAAACTCTGGTGGAGGGACAAGACTTTGGAAGGCCCCAGAGTCATACAGGGAGAGACTGAGTTGTGTGCCTTTAGGGTGAGGGCTGAAGGAACAGCCACCAATGTGCCTTTGTTGAGTCCTCCTTCAGCACAGACTAGAGGTACCATCTTTCATGGGCCACCTCCAACCCCCCACACCCCCCTCCATGGCATTAGCCTGATGAGCTAGCTCCACTAGCTTCACCCTGACAAGTCTCAGAGATCCTGCCCTATTCAATTCACACACAGCCCTGAGGCTTTTCTCAGTGGCAACCAGCCTGGGCCCACACTGTAATTGTCTTTAAAAACTCTCGAGAAATTGTAGTCAAGCCCAGAAAGTGCCAGAGACACAGAGGGAGAAACTAAGTTGTGTGGCTTTAGGGTGAAAGGCAGCGTCCTGCACTGCCAACAGGTGCCACATTTCCTATGTTAAGCTCTCCCCACACGTCCAAATCTAAATCTGCATTATCTTGGTAAATTCTACTAGCTCTACCCTGCCCATTCCCTGAAACCCTGTCCCACTTCAAATATCTGCAGGCCCCAGGTGGGTGGCCTGAAACTTTGGCTGAGTGACTTCAGAACCAGCACTGGTGCTGAGTTTGAATCTATATTAACTTGGTGGACACCACTCACCCCATCCTGGTGACTATCTGGGACCTTCCCTCATACAACTCATGTACCACCTGAGGTTATTTCAGTGGTTGAGCCTTGCAGGCAGTTGGCTGATTGTAGGGTGCTTTGGGCCTTTTGTTGATCTGCCCTAGGCCTGGTGTTGGTGGCAGCTGGCCTTGGTTTGCAGCTTGGCCCCTCCCACAACCACTCAGGCTCAGCAACAGCAGCTACCAACCTTGGATCATTCTGTAGCTCCTAATAGGTTGTTCGGGCATGTACCAGGCAGCATTTAACAAAACCTTCATTGGAATCCCTCCCAAGAAGCCCCAGAACAAATACACCCAGTGGCTGGCTTCAGACCACAGTAGAACACCACATGATTGGTTCCACAAATAGCACAACCAAAGAGAAGTCTCAGTAGGCACCAGTCTTGGCTGAAGAAAATTCTGCTTCATAGGTCAACTTCCACATAGCACCTCATATACTGTGGTCATGGTCAATACTTACAGCCATCCGGCCTGACAGTAAACTCCACACACAACAAGCCAACAGCAATCAAGACTCAATTACAACAAAAGGGAACACATAACCAACACAAAGTACACTCCTGTAGTACCCAGATCAGGAAAACTGTACCACTGGGACCTACAGGACACCTACTACATAAGGCCACCACAACAGGAATGGGAGACATAGCAGATCTACCTAATACATAGAAACAAACACAGAGAAGCAGTCAAAATGGGTAGAAAAAGAAACATGTCTCAAACTAAAGAACATGAGAAATCTACAGGAAAAGAACTAAATAAAATGGAGTCAAGCAATACAGAGCTCACAACAATGGTTATAAGGATTCTCAAGGAAGCAAGTGAAAACTTCAACAAAGACTGACATCCCTCAGAAGAGTGGGTGGGGGCGGGGGGGTGGGAAGAGATAAACCACAGAACTTAAATGCATATATGCATAACCAATGGACATGGACAACAAAGCTGCGGACGGGGTGAGGGGGGCAAGGGGAGGAGGGTGTCAATGGGGTAAAATAGGAGAAACATCTGTAACAAAAAAAAATTAAAAAAGAAAAGAAAACTTCAACAAAGAGATAGCAAGCATTAAAAAAGACATAGAGACCAGAAAAAGAAGCAGTCAGGAATAAAGAATATAACTGAAATGAAAAATATACTAGAAGGAATAAACAGCACATAAGATGAAGCAGAAGATGAATCAGTGATTTGAAAGATAAAGTAGAAAACACAGCAGCAAAAAAAGAAAAGAAAAGAAAGAAAAAAAAATGAGGATAGTTTAAGGGACTTCTGGGACAATAGCAAGTGTAACAACATTCACATCATATGGACCAAGAAGAAGAGAGAGTAAGGAACTGAGACCCTGTCTGAAGAAAAAATAACTGAAAACCTCCTTAACCTGGTGAAGGAAAAAGACACACAAATCCAGGAAGTACAGAGAGTCCCAAACAAGATGAACCCAAGAAGGCCTACACCAAGTCATATAATTAAAATGGTAATAGTTAAAGATACACAAAAAAAGACTTAAAACAGGAAGAAGGAGAAGGAGAAGAAAGATAGTTACCTACAAAGAAAATCCATTAAGACTGTTAGATTTCTCAACAGAAACTTTTCATACCAGAAGGCATTGACATGAAATAGTCAAAGTGATAAAAAGCAAGGACCTACAGCAAGACTATCATTTAAAATCGAAGGAGAGATAAAGAGCTTCCCAGAGCAAAAAAAGCTGAAGAAGTTCATCACGGCCAAAGCAGTAAAAGAAATTCTTAAGGGACTGCTTTAAGAATAATGAAAAATATTTTACAAACTAAAAATGAACTATCAGAAAGGGAAATTAAGAAAATAATCCCATTACAATTGCATTAAAAATTAAAATACCTAGAATAAATTTAATCAAGGATGTAAAAGACTCAGAAAATTATAAGACACTGAAGAAAGAAACTGGAAAAGATACAATA